TGATGCTACTATTAATTGAAAACTAAATATCGCAAAAACGGCACTTACTCAATGAGTATTGTTGTGGTTGACAAAATGTTACGACGAAATTCGAAAAAAATAAACAATAGTTATCAATTAAAATATTATGAAATCGAGTTTTATGAATTTTTAAGCACCATATTTTTCGAGACGTCCAAACAAAAATCGTACAATGCATTGATACAATATTATTAGCGTGCTAAATTTATTTTTCTAACTATTCTATCAACATTTACTATTATATAATGATCAGTAGCATCGTCTACTTTTATGACAATTATGTTTCTTTAACCAATAATCATCTTCAATTCTAATCTTTGTCTGCAGTTGTATAATTGCTCAGCTTTTTGCAACAAAACAGATAATCGCATAAGAATAGAAGTAAATATAGAGAAATTTAGACGTCAGAGGTCAACGATTGTCAAAGAAGACGGCCTGCAAGAGATGTAGTGTAACGGTCATTTATCATCATGACAACATTGCGGACGACGCTTATACAGCTGCGCTCATAAATGAAAAAGAAATTTTGCTTGACTAATCCAAATGAAAGATAAATAGTTTCTGAAAATTTTCGATGATAGATATTTTCTCAGATTCTGTAAGTAAAATCAAGTATATTACAGTAATTCATAATTTTTATTGTTCTACTTTTTCATTCTCCTTTGTTTTAGGTGTCATTGTCATTAAAATACTTATAGGCGTTACTGATACTGATGCCGATGGTACAAATCTTTTATCAATTCTAGTAATTGCAGAATTCATTTTTTTAATTATTTTTGTCCCATGTATTTAGATTTTCACATCATCAGACGTCAATCTATGCACTGATTTATGGGAAATCCCAGCAACAGATGAATGATAGTAGAAAAATAAAATCTTTGTGTAGTCTGCCAATAGCTTTTTTATGTATTCTTACGTTAAACAGTTTTTTTGTATAAGAAATTTCTTTTTTTTGTAAAATTTTGTTTGTTTTTTGTATTGATCATGTTTTTGTTTTGAATACTACATGCAATTTATGTCAGTGGTTATGTAAGATTGTGATATCCTCTGTGATCAAATAAAAGTCCGAAAGTATAAGTATCTGTTGAACTTATTCACGAGTAAACTATTAAATATAGCTATGGTCTACCGAGAATACAGGTGCAGTGAAGTACCGGAATATGCGAAAGTGTAACGCTGTAACGCGTAAAACTAGTTTATATTGTCGCTATAACGCGTAAAATTAGTCTATATCGCCGTTATATCGCGCTATTGCGGACATAGCGGGCGCGAAAGGGGGTCACTATGCGATCGCAATAGCGGCGATATCACGCCTCTATTTAGCCGCTATCGATGACAGGGGTCATTGGATATTTTCTCAACTAAAATCAAAGAGAAGAGTTTTAAATAACTTATTAAAAGAAAGAAATAATAAATAAGATTTACAGAGGAATACAGCTCAGATTTGAACTCTTCACCTTCATTCACCCTAAGAACGTCGTTTTTCCTATAACTTGATTTCTATTGGTTACTGTTCGACCAATAGGATTTCGAGGCAAATGGAGCTCAGATTCGAGTTCTCCACCCCAGAAAACCTAGAAGTATCATCTCTGTGATCGAAAGACAGAGCTCTAATTGTGGACCAGTTAGAGCGTAGACAAAAACAGAACTAATGCCTGTTTAATTATCTTTGCAATAGACGAGTTAGCCTTCTTGTTTCTTTATGTTTCATATACCATTTTGTAGCTCGTGAAATTCTCTATCGGATGGTATATACTAGTTGGAGTTTTATTTGATTACAATAGTGAAATATTTTTACGAAAGTGGGAATAGGTCGATTTTCCTATAGAAAGCCATAGGGAAAAATGACTATTTATGTAATAACTCAGGAACGGCTCGACCAATCATGCTCATCTTCGAATTCGATCGAGATATTATTAAGACTGAACTATGTAGAAAATTTCATCGCAATCGGACTCTCCTTTCAAAAGTTATCGTGTAAACGGACGGCCGGACACACTGGCCGATTCTAGAGTGTACTCACTTTTTGAGTACACAAAAACGGCGTATTTTAATGTAGAAGAATATTTTTGTCTATGTTTTAGACATGAAATTGAACGAATTATTATTTATGCGTTATGGCAAATATTTAATCTTACTCGTGAAGTGAAAAATTGAAAAAGAAAAATTGTTTTCCTTTTTCTGAAATTAGCAAACATTGAATTACTCAGAATGATTCATCAGGAAAAGAATACAGAAAAGATTAAATATGTTATTACAGTTGATCTATTTTTGTACATTACAGCGTATAAGTGTTTTGCTAAGTATTCGGTGAAAAACGAGGATGGGTACTCCATTAACTTGAATAAGTAGTTGTTAGAATAATATGAAAAGTATAGATACATACAAAACTGCTCGAACACTGGCAAGTTGTCCTCGCTGGATGAGAAATTTTACGAGGGTAGGGTGTCGTCTAACCTTCCTAGTCGATCTCTTTCTCCTCTTGATTGAAATGGTACTTATTGATTCTTTTTTATCACATTCACTCAAATGTCTTGCAACTAAAAAGTTCATTTCGAATTAGACAACTATATTTGGTATTTATGATGCTTCAATTACATTCATTTTTATTGATGCAAGAAAACATACAGATGTCTATAGAATGATCAAACTTGTTTGGATGTCAAATGAATTCAGCAAACAAAAATTACTAACATATAGATAACCAAGTAAAGGCGATATTCTTATTCTTTTCTCTGCTCTTCTCTTCTCTTCTTTTCTTTTATCTTCATTAAGACGATATAAACTATCAAAACTACCCACATAAATACTTGTTAACATTGAACTGTATAGTGTCAATAACTGCGACGAACAGGTGAAGTATAAATTCAAATAAGAACAGAATAATACTTCCCATCGTTTTTAACTATCACTTATTCTCTCTTTACAACACGCACGCAAACATATTAAACTCTATATCACAAACTTATGTACGTAGTATTCTTTGTGAATTGTAACTTTTTGGTACGTAGACAGAAGTTTCTCAATGCTTCATTGAACATTAAGATAAATATACATTGTACAGTTTAGTTTCTGCTTAATTCATTAATTAAGTTGGCTTTACTCATTGGAAATGTTTGAGTAGTTCATCAGCTCTATATAGGTTGCAGGAAGTTAGAAATAAGCCACTATGCACTCGAAAGAGTTTGACTAAAAATATCTATTGGAAAATCGTGTATCTACACATTAAGTATAATAGCTTTTTCTCAGAGAATCCTGTTATCTTTTTTCTCTAACAAAACAGGTAAGAGATAACAGTTTCTCATTAGTTTCTTACTGAAAGAGTTTTCTTTGTTTTCATATAATCTATGCATCGCTACATCTACCGCACACAGGGCTAGAATTAATGCTGTGTCACTCTACACCGAAAATATGCAAGTGTGAACATTTTACAAAATAGACTAGTTACATCTTTTCCTTTATATATGTCAGCAAAAAAGAACGCTTTTTGTAATGTATCTCTCATAATTCAGTGATAGTATGAGTTGAAAGCGCTGAAGTTTTATGTGACAGTGATGTGTTCGAAGAGAAATAAAATATTTTTAACAAATGTTCGAATCAGTAGAAAGAACTGAGAAGTTATTAGGCAAATGTAGTTAAAATCTGAATCGTGCCAAAAAATTACAATCCAGTCATTGGAAAACATGCTGCAGTTCAATCATACTTCAAACCATATGTTGTCATCTTAATATTATCAAAGTTAATTGTTTATCGAAATAAGGTCAGCCTTTGCTTTGCACAGCTGTTCTCTTGTCATTGCATCAAAATTGATTAGAATATTTATTTCTTTTTCAAGTAAATTGAACAAACCACAATTTTCTTCTTTTCATTCTTTCATCTTTTCCATCAGTTTTAGAATAAATAGAGAGTCGTGCGCCTATGGACCTTTTTCTTTCTATTTTTTTTTGTCGGTGATGATCATCATCATGGTTAAAACAAGCTGTTGCTTTCTCAGTATATAATTTTTTTTTTCTTTTGTCATTCATTACATATAGCGAACAGAAGAATACATAGAGATTGCTTTTTTTTAAAACTTTTTATTATGAGTTTTGTTTGATCAGTTGAATAGCTATTGGTGCATTAAACGGTTGCGTCAAATAGATGTTACTTTTATTTTTAGAATATAATGACTGTGTGTAAAGTGCTTTTATTCGGTTTAAAACCATGTGATATAAGCAGCTGTACCAATGATAAAATACTTGAAACATCACTTCCACGACAACATTCTTTAAGTCAACTCGAGAATACGAAAGGAAATTCATCTTCATTAGATACTGATTATCTCAATTTAGTTATTAAACCTTTGGTAGCAACAAGTAATTCAGTAAGAAGAGATACAATTATGGATAAGTTTTCTTTTTTCTAATATGTTGATTTTAGCATTCTTCGACAAGTAACGATATTGGTCATGAAACAAGTCCAATTCGTTTGAAGATTTATGAAACTCCTCAAGGACGTCATCGTATTTGTGTCTCACAAATATTATTACGTACGCATACTGGTGATACGTAATATTTATTTATTTTAATTCTTATTTGTAATGGAAAAGAAACAATAATACGTTCTGTTAAATACGATAGTTTTTTTGATGTTATACATTGTTGTTTGCATTTTTTTATTACGACTCTTTCATAGTATTCGAAATTAGTTTGTCTTTTATAGATACTATGAATCATTTTATATTGATTATTTGTAGTTTAATCAAGTGTTTTTTATGTATTCTATACTATTGAGATATGAATAGAACAGACGAATGTTTTCATATTTATCATTGTTGTTGATTTGCTCACTATTCATGAGAGAAGAATAAGTACCGCTTTTTTGCGTACTATTTCTTATTTATTTTAGCGAATCACGATGTAAAATCACATTGCTTCGGTTCGATTGATTTATATGCATATTCTAATTTCAATTTTCCTTGTTGCTCATGATAGTTCATGCATATATACTATGGAATCTAACTAACTGGTCAATTTCCGTTTAGTTCGTTTTCCCGTTCTGTTTAATATTTTTTTCGTCTAATATATTAAGTCGATCTGATTACGAAATTAAATAGAAATCGATGAACTATAATTGTCATCAGATGAAAACTTGCCTGAAGACAAAAATATATACAAGGAAAGAAGCTAATAGTACAACTGAAGAGATTCCTGTATCTTCTACATGCTTATTCTTTCTTGTTAGTCGACACACTGTTTATTTCGGTGTTGACAAAGAGCATGTCTCATATGACAATCTTTTATCCTGTATTTTCTCTTGAATTACAAAAAAATCACTAGTGATGAAAGAAAAGGAGAGAGAGAGACAATGAAAACAAGAAACGTTCAGCGTAAACTTAGTAGTTAATATCAAAAAGAAATATCTGAACATGTATCAGACAATATCAATAGATTTATATAACTATAACATTTTTACTAAGATAGAATAAGTTTTATATTATTCGTTTCCATCTTTTTATATTTTTTTTGGTCGTGATAAAAAATAAGTCAACATTTATCAATCAAAAAGGAAAATACAAAAAATAAAAGATGACAAAAAACTAATATAGATATAATTTAAGAACATTTACTTTTTTCCTTTCTCTTATCAAAACTGACAAAGATAGAAATGTGATTCATTTCCATAGATTTATTATATTTGCAAAATGCTTGAACTTATTTGTACGTCCTTGTTAGGATCTCAATATTTATGTTTATGTAAGTTGAAGAGACAGAGAGGATGAGCTCTTTTCCGTCTCTTCGTTCAATGATAATATGGATAATTGAGTGAAACAATATATAATTGAATTTTTCTGTCAATCGTATAATCTTATTTTGAGAATAAGAAGACGAAAAAAAACTAGACGTTGAACATAGTATTAGTAGTTCCTAAATATAAACAAGCATTCATTTCTATCTATTACATGCTATTGATTATTCTAACAATGATCTTCTGTTAAAAAGAAAATGCCTTTAGCAGCTTTAACACCTGTATTAAATGATTTACTTAAAAAAGAAGGTGGCAGTTCATCATCATTTCCACAACATCCATCTCAACAACAATTATCTAATTCTACTGATATGCAAAATGCTGGAGATTACCTGCGTAAGCCATCTACTGTTTCCAATCAATTATCATCAACATCTATTGATGATGTGAGTATTTTTATTAATCACATTTATTCTTCAAACTAGAGCGAATGATGAAATCATTTATTCATGAATAAATAAGTGCATATTATGTTGATAATCAAACCAAAAGATATAAAATAGATAGAAAGGAAAGCTCTATTGTTTCTTCTTCTTCAATATCTTCTTCATCATCTTGACAACACGTCCGTTGCTCTTCATGTGATTGAATATGATAGAGAATTCCGAAACAAATTATCAATGTTAGTTTGCAATTTTTTTTTACACTTGAAATATATAATAAGAAGAAAAACTATTAATGAGACATGTTCACATAGAGAATAACACAACGAATTTGTAAGATCCAGTCAATAAGCATGATCCAGACCATTTTCAGAAGATTTCGTCGCATGCAAAATTATCAAATACATGGTGATGATCTCTTTAAAACTTATTTTAAATTATATCTTAGATTTTCTAATTCATATGTATAAATTTTTCTATTTTTTCTAGAGTCCCCGTCATCATTCAGTCACTGCATTCAGACTGAGCAAAGCATTAACACGTGAAGATTCATTTTTACGAAGGTTTTCCAATCGCTACAGGTATCGAGGATTAGGGAAGATGGGTAAGCTTATCTTTTAAATATATATAAAAATTAAAATTTTTCCTAATTGTTTATAAGATTCAACAAAACGAAATCTTCGATTAAATGTTGAAAAAGAAGAACCAATTAAATCACATTATAGATTTATCAGACGAATTCTTCGTACATGTAATTATTTTGTTATATCAACAGATGAATCATTTTTATTTTATTGGTTAATTTTATTAAATATATTTGTATTATATAATCTTTGGTTTTCTATTGCACGTCAAGCATTTGATCCATTACAACAAGACTATGCAAAAATATGGGAAATTATGGATTATACAGCTGATACAATTTATTTTCTTGATATTTTTATTCAATTTCGAACCGGTTATCTAGAACAAGGTGAAGTAAAACTAGTGGAGACAATTTAAAGTTTCAAATTACATTTATTTCAAGAAAAAAATCAGTGAGACTATACCTACAAGTTAATTGATATTCGGACTAAAACATTTTATATTTACTAAATTCTTACTTGCATTTTTGTGTATAATGCCAAAGGATAAGAAGTTCTTCAATCGTTGTTTTTCTCGATTCCGAGATAAAAATTTTTATTAAAAGCTCATAGTTTCATGTATCACTTACGTTAGTATGACAACATGGAAGTGTCAATTTAGATAAAAGTTTATTCAAGATCAGTTTTTAAATTATAGCTTTCAGTGAGAGATGCAGAAGACTTAACCGATGCAGTAGTATAAAAGACTTTCTCAGTATTTTTTTAAAATTTCAACCTGCTCTTATCATTTCGAAAAAGAACTGTAAACAAAACATTCAGTTTTTAATTCTCTACAAAGTTGTTTATTTTTACTAATGAAAGAATTCTTTCTAGTTTTCTGACACACAATATAATAGAGTACTCGAATACTGTAGTTTATTCTTATTTTGTAACTGATCAAATTCCATTCAAATTGAATAGTCTAATTGAATTACACATTGACGATTCGGAGACCTATGATCCTTATCGATAAAAGGCATAAAACTGTTATTTATCCATACTTCACTTGTATGTCTCTGTGAGATTGTTCTTTTGATTTTTAAAATTCTTGATTACTTTTAAGAACTTTAATCGTCTAATGTATACGCGAGGATCATTGATCTTTGAATAGTAAAAAAAAAATGAAGTCCGACAGTTTTTACTCTAGCAGAAATCCAGCAGTAGTCCAGCAAAGAAAGAGTACCCATTAGTTTTTCCATAAACATAAAAACTAATAGATCCAACCAAAACTATTTTTTGTGTATCTATCAAGTTGAAAATTTTCTTTTTCAACATGCTTTTACAATATTCTAGGTTTACTCGTGTATAATCATTATAAACTTGCAATGAATTATATTCATTCATCTCGTTTCATATTCGACATAGTATCTTTAACACCATTAGATTTATTTCAAATAAAATTTGGTTCAATACCAATTCTTCGTTTCCCACGTTTTTTAAAAGTTTACCGAACATTTCAACTTTATTATTTACAAGAATCACGAACTATTTATCCAAATACATATCGTGTTCTAAATCTTTTTCATATACTCCTTCTATTGGGACATTGGTTGGCATCGTTTTATTTTATGGTATCAAAAGCTGAAGGTTTTATTGGTTATTGGTCATATCCAAAACCTGTTGGAAATTTTTCACAATTAGCAAAAATGTATCTTCGTTGTTTGTATTGGTCAACATTGACATTAACAACAATTGGAGATTTACCACCACCAGAAACAAATTGGCAGTGAGTAAATTTTCTATTTTGAACTCTCTGATTTGATAGAAAATGAAGGATTAAAATTTATACTTGAAATTTATTTTGTTTTTCTTCTTCGGTTTCTTTCGTTTTTTTTCTTCTTGTAAGTTAGATGGCTCAAAAATTTTTCGAATAAACGGTAAATATAAATGCTTATTGTATTCTCATCATTGTTTGGTGTTATATGTCTGAAATCAATATTTTCAATAATTTTATTTTGGTTATTTTAGCTATGTTTTTCTGATAAGCGTTCACTTGTTCGCCGTTTTCGTCATAGCTATTATTGTAGGTAAGCAAGAAATAAGTTTCAAAACAAAAAAAATAAAATTTTCTTGAGAAACCTTTGCGATCAGTAAGTACGAGTTGGTCATTTATGGAGAAAATATTCAGATACATACCATATTGTTCATTTATTTTTGAGGGCTGTTTTTGCTATCATCAGTTATATGATTGGAATATTTGTTTTTTCATCGATTATAGGTAATCTTTCGAGTAAAATAATTCTAATATTTATTTCTATTCTATTAGGACAAGTTGGCAATGTTATTACAAATCGAAATGCTAGTCGTTTAGAATTTGAACGTTTATTGGTTAGAATTTAATGAATGAAAAAAATTTCTAAAATACAATTTATTTATTACATAGGATAGTGCAAAACAATACATGCGTTCACATAATGTACCAACTGAAATGCAACGACGTGTTCAACGTTGGTATGATTATTCCTGGTCACGTGGTCGAATGTCTGGCGCTGGCGATGTTCATTCAATAAAACTTTTACCAGATAAACTTAAAACAGAATTAGCTCTTCATGTCAATTTGGGAACCTTGAAAAAGGTATTTTGCCTAATTCAGCATTATAATGCACTATTGAGTTTGAAATTAAATTATTCTAAGAAAGTTTTTTGAGTTCGTTCATATCGATAGATGCATCTTGATAGGTTCATTTGCGAAATATAAACTGTTTTTTTCTTTTGTGATAAAGCGTTCTCTTACTTGAAAAAGATTGAATTTGGATAGCACTCAGTATCTAACGAAAATTCAACAAATAGTTCAAGCTGATATCGAATGAATAATAAATTTGAAATGCACAAATATTCGTTCTATATTTTAAATTCAATAATTTAATTTCTCTATAGAATCTTAAAACAATAAACAATTGATTTTTTTTCGATAGAATTCTTCGAAAAATGATACTTTTATTAACATCAGTCTGATTACTCATATGGAGTATTCGTATAGTATAGGAAAATATGAAAGATTGAAGCGAACAAATACCATCAAATGTTTCCTATAGATAGATATTTATCATAAAGTTGTTTATCTCGCGTGTAATCATCTAATATTTGTGAGTAAAAGTATATTACACGTATAGAAAGCTCCAAGTATTTCGTGTTCCTCTAAATGATTTTTAAGTGTTTTTTTTTTCTATCAATAGATCACTTTTGTCTCAATAACTTAATTAAGTTTGAGATATCGGGTGTGCAGTTCATTTCTGATGAATAACAAGGTAAAATTTCTGTGACATATATATATATAAAAGAGTGCTTTATCAGATATTTCGTTGGAAATTGTGTTTACACATTGTGACTCTAAGTTCAGTACTTCTAGTACATTACTAATAATGAAGAATAGATGTCAGCATACATCATCAATGCTGAATAAAACATACTGTTCTCAGAAAAAGTTTTCAGACATCCTGTACATATTTTTTTTATTTGGAAGATTATAGAAGGTAGAGATTTTTCGCTGAGAAAATGCTATTGATCAAAACGAAACTGTTAAAAACTACTATGCTACGTAAGAAATCATCTCTTTTATTTTGCTTATGTTGAAGAGAAGAATAAATCCGATAAAAATAAACACATTTTCAAACTCTTTAATACATTCAATCATGCACCATAAGTTAGAACAACATAGAAATCTCAAATTTCGAAAACTTTGTTGCTTTTTCGACTTGATTCTACTCTTCAAGATGAACAAAATAATAAAAGAGATGATTTCTTCTATGACACAGTAGATTTTTAACATCTTTCTTTTTATCAGTAACATTTTTCAGAAAAAAAACTTCTACTTCCTATAAACTTCAAAACAAAAAACATGCTTACAATAGATTCTCTTAGATTCAAAAATTTTCGCCGCTTATGCAAATATATACTTATATTTCGAGTCAACGTAAACAGAAAATTTTGAAGAATTATTGTCGAATATCTTAGAATCTTAACTAATATTGTTTCTTTTTATTTTCAAAAGGTGACTATATTTCAAGAATGTCAACCTGAATTTTTACATGATCTTGTTTTAAAAATGCGTGCATATATATTCACCCCAGGTGATATTATATGTCGTAAAGGTGAAGTAGCACGTGAAATGTTCATTATAGCAGATGGTGTTCTTGAAGTAGTCAAGTAAGTGTCTAATATAAGATTAACAAATCTTTTTCAAATCAAAAATTATTTAAAGTGAAAAAAATGATGTTCTAACACGTTTGGGTGCAGGTGATTTTTTTGGCGAAATTGGAATTTTAAATATTGATGGTGCTAACCGACGTACAGCTGATGTACGAAGCGTTGGTTATTCAGAATTATTTTCTCTATCAAAAGAAGATGTTTTGGAAGGTTGCCGAGATTATCCCGAAGCTGAACGTACATTATATGAATATGCTCAAAATCGTCTTGGTTTTGAAAAAGCTAAAAATGAAGCATCAGAAAAAATGAAAGGTGCATTAGATACTTTAACATCAATTGCATCATGTTTAACAAATAATTCAATAACAGTCGTACCAGCACCTCAAAATATGTCACCTATACAAGAAATAAATGAAAAAGGTTCAGTTAATAATAATCTAGAAAATGAAGATCAAACTGAACAAATAACATTATGCTGTAATCATCGAAGAATATTATCAGTAGATCATGCAGGGTAAAAACAAATTGACTTGAAATTTGTAATAATAATTTTAATTTAGATTAAAATCAAAACTTTCAATTTCTAATTCACAAAATTTTGTCTGTGATAACCAAGATAAACCTCTAATTCATGGAAATTCATTATCAAAAAATATTTTAGCTCAATCATTATATACATATTCAAATGAGTTGATGAGTGATATTGAATCATTGATTCATGATAAAATGGTTTGAAGATATTAATAATCCAGTGTTTTCTGATATTTTTATTTTTGTTTTAGCTTTCAATTGAACAATCTTATCGACAAAAAATTGCAGAATTACAAGAACAAAATGAACGTAAAGATATACGAATGAAATTACTGGAAGAAAAATTACAAAAATTACAGGTTTATATTCTCTTGATAAGTATCGTAAAAGAATTTATTTTATATTTAGAGAACATTATTCAATCGTAATCGAATATGGTTTGAAGATGAATGAAGAATTGCATCTATACATATTTGTACACCATTGCAACTCGGGGACGACTATTTTGTATTGTTACCATTGTTCCAAATATCTTTATACATTCATTCAATAAAAACCAATATTTACATTTAATCAATACATGGCTACAAATGTATATAGCTCATCAATCCAAAATCTAGTTGTTTTCAGATAGATTATGAATTTTTTTATTTATGACAGTGACTAGTTAGTCTACATAAAGTTTTCTTTGTATGCATTTTAAATTTCTACAATAATAATATTCTCATTATGTGAACAAGAGCCAAAAATCTAGAAAATAGAGAGAACTGTGTTATGCCAATAAACAGTTCTCATTACATTAGTATCAGTCTCTAATTCACTAAATGACTTTTTTTGTAGGAAGATAATATGAAATATTCAAATACCTATTGCAACATGATTTGAAGATTCTAGAGTGAACGTAACTGTAGTAACCGACGATTCAAAGAGATCAAGCAAAACGTTTATTCGCCATATTTTTTTCCGAAATTTCAATAAAACACTTCATTTTTCAGTAGAATATATACGCATGCAAACATACAGTGCAGTTTCTTTGTTGCTGGGAGATAATAATTGATTTTTTCATCATTTTCACCGAATACCATCACAACTAATAATAGAATTGTCACAGAAATATCCATTATCCATTTATTTATTTAGTTTATCTATCTGTTCACCTAAATTTTCAATTTGATTATTATCAGTATCTTATATGAATTGTTGACCAAATACTCATTGTTTCCTAATCCAAATTTATATTGTCATGATGTCACAAAACTTGATATATATTCTTTTCGAATAGTAGCTACATCTAATCCATTTAAAACTTTCTTATTCAATAAGATAAACTTTTGCTGAACATGAATGTTTTCTTTTTCTTTTTGTTTATTCTCAATAGATACATACTGTGTATAATCAATAAATATTTTCGTTTTGTCATGTCGTTTCGATATGTACGATTTCCATGCCTTCTTATAATGACATTATTCTGATTCCGTCCCAATATCAATGTAATTTAAGTGTGTAAAGAAAGAAATAGATCATGACAGATAGACATGCTTGCAATTCTACTATAAATGATTTGTTCTTACTAATCATTCATTTTAAAATGTCATACAATGACATCATTTCTCACAAAGCTCTTTCTTCTGATTGTCATTGACTTTTATTTCTTAAGAATCTTTGAATGCTACCTTTGCATTTAGGATTTATTATACCTAGAAAAGATCTAATCTCGCCGAATTTTCACAGATCTGCCTTTTTTTTAAAATGCCAATATGATGATAGGAATAGATTAGAATAAACTATTAATCTTTATAGAAGGTCCAACAAGTCGCTGGAATCAAATTCGATGATTACAATAAAAAGTCTCTAATATAAATATTCATGACACCATTTAAGTATTCACTATACAAAGATGTTTCTTTCTTATGTGTTCACGATGACATGTAAAAATAAGACTAAAAGAAAAAAAAAATGTTCACTTTAGAAAGGTTCTCCTAGTTGGTGCAAATCAAAAGAAACGTTCACAAGTCACTGTTAAGTGGTATTCACTAACAGACGATCGATGGGAATTTAGAGTGTTTACTACAACAAGATGTTCATTTTATGGAGACGTTTACAATGGAAGATTTCCCTGTAGGCTAGACATCTATGAATTGTGAAGTAGTAATATATAAAAAAATAAGAGAATGAAAAGACAATAACATTGAGAAAAAAAAGCTGGTTGATGTTCAAGAACATTCTGAATGAATCTGAGAGATAAAAATGTCACTTGTAATATTACAATCAAGAGTAGAAAAAAAACGACGCTCTATAACTACTACGTTGACATCAGAAAAAAGATTATTTAACAATGGTGAAATTACCTGAGATTCAGAAAAGACAACAGGCAAGTAATTATAAACGTTGAAATTCGTGTCGATGGTCTTTCCAGAAAGGTGATAGATTTTATTCTTTATAATTACCCTCTATTTTATTAAGAAATATTTATCTTATTCATCATATTCGAATCCCATCCTTGATTAATAATTCAACTGCATTGATTTTTCTATCAATATATTCGATATGTTGGATGAAAATTTGATATAAAAGCAAAAATACACAGGACAGACAGTCTGCCATGTTGAAGTGGTCTCCCTCACTTATGATATTAGTCACCCTCCATTGCCCGTTCAAGGTTGTTATATTCAGAAGCTCAACTTGCAAAAAGTTCTACGCGAAATTACTTCTATTGTATTTATAACGCTTCTGAACAAAACTTGCAGTCATGAACAAGCGACCTCTATCCGTCATCGAAGTTTTCTATCCAAAAACTGTTATTCAGTTAGTTTAAATTAAACTTTAAAATAAAAATAAATTCTTTTTAATAATGTTTTTTATTTTAATAAAATATTCTGTTTTTAACCAATCATATAAAACGTCTTTGTTTGTCTTCTTTTCTCTGTTTGCTAAACGAATGCAAAAACATGTTTTTAGCTTTGTGTTCGTATTTCTTTCTTTCTGTTATTATTGTCTACTTAAGCGATGTAGTCTGAAAGAACCGAATGAAAAGACGAAGAATAGAGAAAAAAAAAGAAGACACAGAAGTCAGTCAGAAAGAAAGAAAATTATGTGGAGGCGTTGACGTCGTTCGCATCATCATTTGACGTTATTTCTCTCGTTCCAATCAGAAACTTAAACTACTTCTTTTCCGTTTTATTATAATGACACGTTTGACATTTTTTTTAGAATTAGTCATGATGAATTGTTAATTAATAAAAAACAACGAAACTTATAAAATGTTCAGTACATTTGCTGATGTATTTGGTTCAGATGATAATGATACGAAAATATTGAATGGTACAAAAACTCCATTCGGTTCATCATTATCATCAACAGTCGATCCATTTGGTATATCAAGTGATATGAAATTATCTGCATCTTCACAAAAATTTGATGATAGTCCATTTACAATCGAAACCACAAATGAACAAATGAATCTATCTCATAGTGGAAAAGATGCATTATCGTCATCTAATTGGAATGCCTATCAAAATTCTACCAATAAACCAAATTTAGATCAATCAACAAAATTTGATCCATTAGAAGATCTACAAGATAAAACAACAAATTTATCTATTAATCATAATATCACACACTCAAAAAGTATTAATCTTATGAATCCATTTTTAATTCCAACTATTTCTAATGAAGAATCAACAGTACCTATTCAAGCAACACAAATTGATCTTTTATTTGATATTAATGTTGATCCAAGTACATTACCAACGATAAATTCAAATGATTCATTAGCACATTCTGATCAAGTTCAATCATCATATGATCTTCTTGGTCTTAATCAAAAAACAAAGCCATCATCATCAGTTAAAATTTTAAAAAGTGATAGTTTAACAGATTTACCGAAAATAAGTCAAACTAAAAACTCTTCACCATCATCATTAATGGCTAAAACAAATATTCCAACAGCATCATCATATCATTCATTACCAATAAATGTTCCACCAACATCGCCAAGTACATTACGTGCTCAAGCAACAGCATTAACAATAATGACAGGTACAACATCAACAACACCATATGATGATCAATTTCTTGATTGGTTAACACAATCTGATGATTTAATGTGTAGTGTTGATCCAAAATTAAGTGGATCATCAAAAAAAATGGATATTAATATGTTAAAAAGTACTGAAGATCTTTTAGGAAGTATTTATAAACAATCAATACCAACATTAACAACACTTCAGGAAGCATCACAAGAATCATTTGGATCTCCACCTATTGTTAGTCCTAAACAAATGATACGACGTCCATCGAATGAAGAAGTTCCATCAATATGTGTTCATGAACCAACATGTGATCATAATGATAGCAATGTTGTTCCACAAGGATATTTTGATAAGCAAAAAGAAAATGATAATGATTCTGATGATTCTGATAATTCAAAAATGGTTTTTAAAATTGGAGAAAAAAAACATACAACATCTGTTCATGATTCAAATACGCCTGTGCCATTATTACCACCACCACCATCACCATCAACATTAAGAAAATATAAAGAAGCTAGTGATGATGCTAGTTCATCATCATCAACAACAGACAATGAAGATGAACATGATCCATTAGCTGTATTTCGTTCAAAATCTCTTAAAAAGAAAACAAATGAACAACCTGGTAAAAATCTTATTACTGATTGGGAAGAAGAAGAAGCAGGAGACAATACAAAAATTAATCAAGAAAATGATACAAAAATTAATCAAGAAGTTAGGGTATGCTTGATGTTTCTATATGTATATATGTTGTTGTCTTGTCTGTGTTACAATAGTATTCAAGGTTGGTGTTATTTAATAAATATTAAATTTTCTTTTCTATTTAATTTTTCTTATTCTAGCATGAGAAAGCACACTCAATACCAGTAGATTATTATTTACATGAACCAGATTTTGATGATAGTGCACCATTAGAAGCATATCATAATGATATTAATGAATTACAATTACAACAACTTAATGGATGGTTATTACAAATTCGTGTACCATTAAGACAAAAAGATTTATATAAGAGTACTTTTCAAAGATTTAGTGAAACACGTAAGAAATTTTATATATGGTGTTTTATAATGAAGAGCATATTTATTTCAGGTAATTGGCAAGAATGTTATGTAAGAATATTTTTTGATGAAAAAAAATTACGTTTTTACTTACCTCAAACAATTGAACAATCATTTGCTGAAATTGAATTACAAACATGGTATCAATGTACAAAATTTAATCTTCAACAATATGATCAATATACAAAAATTCATACATTTAAAATATTTGAAGCTAATTATAGAGAAATTCCTCAAGTTCGTATTGATCGTCTTGTAACTTTACCAGAAAAATTATTAAGAAAATTTACTCGACCAAATAAAGCTCAACAAGTTTTACTTGATCATGCAAATTGTGTTCAACAAGAAATTGTTAAATTTG